TGGCTTACTAATAATAAAATAAACCCAAGGCTTCCTTAGCAGTCATTGGATGAGGCTTGCCCTGAAAACGGATGTTACTGTGGCTCAGGCAAGTAGCTATCCTTGGTAGTTCCCACAGGGCACTAAGCTCTATGCTGTCAGCAGCAAGGTGGGAACAGGGAGTGTATATTTCTGTACAGAAGGGGGTGCCTGTTAAGGGTTAATGTTAATGGATCTCAACATCCACTATGGACTACTTTTGAAGACATTCTTAGAAAGTGCTCTTAAGATAAAACGAATGGAGGGAGAAAGGATCAAAAATGCAGAGGAGGGAAAGGAATAAACGATTGTCAGGGGGCAGAGGCCAGAAGCCCGGAGGAGAGGAAAGCCTTTAGAGTCCTGGAAGGATGGCTTTTTTATGTTGGGAGAAAGATGGGGCAATTCTGGAAGCTCTTGTCAATAACTCCTATTCTTCCCTGCAAAATAGGAAGGAGAGTAGGGGGAGGTTTACTGAAGAAGGGGGGGGGTCTTTAAACATTTGTAAATAGGAAAAACCATAACTGAGACATTGTTGTAGCGTAAAGAAGTGACTGAATGGGAGAGCCAGAACGAAGCCATTAGGAAGCTTGCGTGGCCAGTTGGGCATTTCTGGGAGATGGTAAAGCGTTAGGCTGAGCCCTGAGGAGTGGGCAGAAGGGCAGAATGGTGGGAAACCACTCAGAAGGAGAAACCAGAGTGTGCTGTATCTCAGACCTGTGGTGCTGGATTTTATCTATAGATGCCAAGATCTGAGGAGAAAGGATGGTGAGTCTGAACATCAAGGGTGAAGAGGAGGGGCAAAGAAGTCAACAGGTGTCATTGCTGAGGAGATATAGCGGGTAACTTGTCCTGGAGCCTGGATGAAGAACCTTAGTTGTTGAGAATGGTCATTTTTGTCTCTAGACACAGGATAAAATTCTGTTTGGTAGAGGTTTGTTTGAAGATGCCTCCCCCACTGTCCTAGTTAGGCTTACTATTGCTGTGATGAAATACCATGACCAAAACAACTTAGGGAAGAAAGGGTTTAATTTGCCTTACACTTGATATCACTGTTCATTATCAAAGAAATTCAGGACAGGAACTTGAGCAGGACAGGAACCTGGAAGCAGGGGCCGATGCAGAGGCCATGGAGGGGTGCTGCCTACTGGCTTGCTCTATGGCTTACTAAGCCTGCTTTCTTATAGAACCCAGGACCACCAGCTCAGGGACAGCACCACCCACAATGGGCTGTGCTCTTCCCCATCAATCACTAATTAAGAAATTGCCCTATAGCTGGATCTTATGGAAGGCTTTCTTTCAGAAGACTCTAGCTTGTGTCAAGTTGACATAAAACCAGTCATGGCATGAAGCCGTGGAAGTCATGGAAAACTGCCATGAAAGAAGCCATGGATGTTACCTTTTGCACACTGCCTTCAATATTGATCTTCTATCAGTTTGCTCATCTCTTGGTCCACCCTTTGAACTAACTGGTCATAAGACCTTACCAGTTCCCTCATTATAAATGAAGCTGTTTTGATGTGAATCAGAAATGTCCTTTATAGACTCATGTTTTGAATGTGTATTCCTTAACTTACTGTACTATTTTAGGAAGCTGTGGAGTCTTTAGGAGATACTGCCTAGCTGGCAGGAGTGGGTCACTAGGGGTAAGCCTCTGAAGGTTGTAGAATTGCTGGTTCTAGCTCTCTCTGCTTTCTCTAAGCTTTAGTCCAGCAGACTTGAGTAACTCTGACAGGTCTTCCTCACTATGATGGGCTACTACCTTCTGAAATACTGAACCAAAATAAATCTGATTTCCCATGGTTTATTTCTGTTAGGTTATCAGTCATGGTGACATGAAAACCAGCTAATATAAAACCCTAATGCAGAAAACAGAACCATGTTCCAACCACTTGGCTTTCCCTCCCCACATGCCGTATCCACAAAGATTCCTGAAGTTCCTCCATAGAGCATAGGCTAAAAATCCAGGACCTCAAATCTATCCTTTACTTGAGAGTGGAATCCTTTCTGCAGTGTCCTGGTTAGGCATGGTAGGACCTGTCTGGATATTTTGCTATAGGGGGCCCTATGAATCCACACAGAGCCCAGAAGAGGACTTCCCAATGGTTGCTACTCTTATACTAGAAATCTGCCTTCAGGTCACTCGATCCCTCTCTCCTCTGAAGCTGCAAAGGATGTCAAGTCTCCTCTCTTTCCCTGCATGCCTTGAGACCGTTTAGGAAATTATCACACAGGTAAGGTTGCCTCTAAAGGAAGACAGAATAAACTGCACAAAGATCTGGCTCATTCCTAGCAGGCATCCTCTGATAAGCCTGCTCTCGAGAAGGCATACCAGGAGAAGGACTGTGAGAAGGTATGCTCAGCTTTCCTCTGAGATCTCAAAGTGAAGGTCAAGGCCCCAGCCTCACCCCCAGCCTGATCTTTGCTTTTTGGCTGATATCTGTGGGTAACCTGACACATGGGCCAGAGCCTCTTCCACTCAACAGGTTACCCTTGCTGTAGTTGACCATTTTGGCTTTAATGACTTGACTGTGTTCTGTCCTCTCTACCTTGCTATGCACAGCAATCACATGATCAGATGTGAGGACTTGGGACTAAGTCAGGCACTAAGGACTCCATACATGAGTTCTAGTCCTCATCAAAGAACAGAGGGCGAGCTTACATAACACAGCCTCTAAGACGCATTAATGCGCTATACAATGAACAATTCTAGTCCCATGAAACCATAGCCTTAAGCCTAGCTCTGACCCATAACAGCGCTTTAACTCAGGACTTGTTCTCTGCTATTTAGTTTTTGTTGCTTCTCATCACAGTTTCTGATATTTTATAGTAGGTTAAGTAACCGCTTGTCTTTCCCATTAAAACACTGGCTGCTTTGTGCAGCCTGGTAATAATAGGCAAAGCTACTTTGCACATTGGGTGAGCTTAAATAAATTTAGCATTTGATGAGTTCTACACTCACCTTCCTCAGAAGAAAACAGCTAAGCAACTATTCCAGACCTGGCTGAGACCATTTTAGCCTCCTTTCTAATTCCAGACTGATGTGACAGAAAGATAGCCAAGCACCAGAAACTGGCAGCATCCAGTCTGGAGAGGACCCAGAAACTGTCTGTTGATTACTCAATCAACAGTGAATAAGTAGGGTGAGACACGGGGGGGGGGCATCCAAGAAACAGGACCCCAAATGATCTATGGCCACTGCAGTTTGGGGGAGCTGTGAATCAAAGCAACAGCTTGTTGCAAGGAAGGGACATTTGTGTGCACAGGCCTTTTGGGAGAAGACAGAGAATGCAGGCAGCCAAGGATATCTTAGCAAGGGAGAAGAGTAAGTAAACACACAGGCTTTGGATGCAGAAGAATCTGGGTTGGGATCCAACTCTTCCACTCACTAATTGTGTACCCTTTGATAAGTATGCCAAGCTTCAGCTGTAAACCAGGGACCTAGGTCACAGGGTTGGATTAAATAGAACAGTGCAAATTAGACATGCTCTCGGGGTGCTTGGAGCATGGTGAACAACAGCACTATCACTGTCTTTGGAACAGATTCAGTGGCGCAGTCATCTAGTGGAGCAGGATACCTGGAGGCAGAGAGCAGAGGTGAAAAGTCTGTTTATCTGTTCTTTTCTTCCTTCAAGACAGGCTCAGGAAACTGCAGGGACAGTTAGATATGTCTGCCCTGAAGCTTCCTTTAGAGGAACTTCCAAAAAGTTATGGAGGCTGGCACTAACAGTGAAGACCTCATGGCTCCTTTGCAGATCGACAGCTCTAAGGGCTCCTGAATGGCAGCAGGGACTATCTAGAAGGGATACCTTTACTGAACTGGCCCTCACTGGCACCTCGTGAGCTGCTATCTTCCAGTTTTGTTTTGTTCTGTTGGCAGTAGTGGGGATCAAACTCAGGGACTTGCTTTTAGCCTAGGCCAACACTCTACCACTCCAGTCTTCTTCCTTCAGTTTGGGTGAAACATGCTAAGCCAGGCAGCAGCAGGATCAGCATCTTCCATCTTCCTGCCTTCAGACCTTCCAAATAAATGCCTGCCGCTCACCTATGCTTCACACGGGAACTTGGAACTGGCAGCACATCAGGCTCTCCTAACATCTAACTATGTCTGGATCTTGCTCTCAGAGAGTCTGGTAGAATTCTCCTGGAACATGATAGCCATTGCTATTTCCAGGTCTCCAGTGGGCAGCTAAGGTTAAAAATGAACTACTATTGTATGGATTTCCATTGACTTCTCCCTCCTTCCCTCCCTCCTGCCTGCCTACCCTTCCTCCTCCTCCTCCTCCTCCTCCTCCTCCTCCTCCTCCTCCTCTTCCTCCTCCTCTTTTCTCTTTTTCCTCTTCCTCTCCTTTCAGGTGGTTAAAAAGTAGGGCCTTGGGTATATTAAGCAAGTGCTTTACAACTGAACTATACCCCTCAGCCCGCCACCCTCCACCCCTTATAATATTTTATTTTGAAATAGGAGTTCATATATTTCAGACTGGTCTTGAATTTACTATGCAGTGAAAGATGACTTTGAACTCCTGGGTCCTCTTGTCTCTGCCTCCTGAGTGATGTGATTTACAGGTCTACACCTCTATGCTATGATCAAACCCAGGGTTTTATGTACGCTAAGCAAGTACTCTACCAATGAGATGTATTACTTAGCTTTTAGTAGCTGTTGCTGTTGTTTTCTGAGACAGAGTTTCTCTGTATAGAAGCCTTGGCTGTCATGTAACTTCCTCTGTAGGTCAGGCTGGCCTTGCACTCACAGACACCCTCCTGCCTCTGCCTCCCAAGTGCTGGGATTAAAGGCATGTACCACCACATCTTTCGAGCCTCTATCTTTTTATGCTTGATTTTGATACAAGATCTCACAAAGTTGCTGGGAGTACATTTGAACCCCTCTGTAGCTCAGCCTGGCCTTGATCTTGCAAGTCTCTCTTGCCTCAGTTTACCGAGTAAAGGAGATTGCAGTGTCTCTGCTCTCAAATCCATTAGGCTCCTTTATTTTCTTGGAAGGAATTCTCTAGAAGGAATTAAAATTGTAAATCCAGGTGTGCTTATTCAAACACAGCAGGAAATCTTGGTCCAGGAAGACTCATTGTTTTGTCTTGAGCTTGTTGATTTTAGGACAACTGCACAGAACAGGAAGTGAGTCCTTTGTTCAAATTTCTGTAGGTCACAGAGGTTGGGGAGGCAAAAGGCTCCAAGGAAGTTTTCTGTCTAAACCTTGCTGCCATTTGCACTCACTTGAATGCTGTTGTCTGTCTCTACATGCTGGATCCAGCTCTTTGACCTTCTGCATCCACCTGAAGCTTCCTCCTCCTGCATCTCTAGTGTCCCTTGAAAAATAAGAGGAATGGGGAAAGAATTGTTCCTGAGGTTCCCACTCTCCACCTTAGAATCCTTTGGAGGATGGCAACCTCTCCCACCCTTCTTTTCCTGTCCTCTCCCATCGAAACTAAAAGCACGTCCTTGGAACTTCTCTGGAACTTTCTCCAACTGCCTCCCCAACAGCCAACTGCTTCCCCTGTCCTGTGCTCCCTCTGCAAACATTCTCTAAGAATTATAGGTCCTCAATACCAGTTAATCTTCATCCCATTCGACAAATACTGTGAAGGTACCCCAAAGGTACCTCTACCAGCTTCAAAACGGATCAAGTTTCCCATGGAAGAGGCCAGCAACGATGATGCCGTAAACCAGGTAAGTGAAGAAGTACTTTTGGTTCCTGTTGTGGTATAGGGACTTTCCACAAGCCAGAGTATAAAAAAAACAGAAAGACTGAGATGCAGAAAGTTGACAGAAATTAGTGTCAAGGATAGCATTTTCAAACCCTCCAATTTCATGTGATTTGAGTACATCATTTGTAGCATCTCTAAGTGTTTGTCTCTGAGCCTAAACACTTCCCTAATCGTCTCTATAAAGAGCACTGGAATGCTTCCAATTGCTGAGGCTGTGGGGCTGAGCAAAGAGCACAAGTGATCATAGCAAGACTTGATCTGACAGTCTCTTAGCATGTTTCCTTTCTTAGAATATTTTTATTTTAATTTATGTGTGTGCGTGTGTATGTCACATGCATGCAGGCATCCACAGAGGCCAGAAGAAGGTGTTGGACTCCCTGACTGGTGTCACAGGCAGTTGTGGGTGCTGGGAACTAAATGTCCATCCTCTGCAAGACCCGAGAGCACTCAGAACCGCTGAGCCGTTTCTCCAGGCCCACACTCCCTTCTGTTGCAGCCTCCTCACTCCTTCTGTGAAACAGGAAAAGCAAAACAAAAAACAAAACAAAACAATAACCCTGTTTCCTCCCACACTTGGAAATGTGGGGACCCACAGATTGACTCTGTCCTTGGAAGGAGAAAATGAGATCCAATTTTGTTGAAGTCCAACTTGTCTCTTTTGCTTCCGGTCCTTGCGCTTTTTGGCATAAAACCAATGATATGGCATTGCCAAATCCATGACAATCCTCTGACAGTTTCCTCCCGTGTTTTCTTCTGAGTTCTATTCTTGTCCTTAGATTTAAAACTGTGACTCACTGTAACTCAGTTTTTATGTATGGTATGTTCTTTGGCATGGGGCTATCTGGTGTTAGAGATAGCAAGATGGTAGTCTCTGTTTTGTGTTCTTGGTATCTTTATTGGAAATCATTAGACACCATATATACAAGGCTTGAACTCTTTCTGCAGACCAGGCTAACCTTGAACTCACAGAGATATACTTGTCTCTGCCTCCTGTATACTTCGATTAAAGGCATGCGTACCACATGCAGCCGTCCGTTTCCTTTCTGATGTAAGCATTTCCTGCTTTAAAGAAACATTTATGTGATCGTGTGTGTGTGTGTGTGTGTGTGTGTGTACATGCACCAGATATCCTGGAGCCAGAATTACAGGTGGTTGTGAGCTGCCCAACATTTTAGAAGACCAATATGTGTTTTTAACTATGGTGCCCTCTTTCCAGTTCCTTCACAGTTTTTTCTTTCTTTCTTTCTCTCTCTTTCTTTCTTTCTTTCTTTCTTTCTTTCTTTCTTTCTCTCTCCCTCTCTCTTCTCTCTCTCCTCTGTCTTCTCTCTCTTCTCTCCTCTTCTTCTTCTTCTTCTTCTTCTTCTTCTTCTTCTTCTTCTTCTTCTTCTTCTTCTTCTCTCTCTCTCTCTCTCTCTCTCTCTCTCTCTCTCTCTCTCTCTCTCTCTCTCTCTCCAGAGTTTCTTTGTAGACCAGGCTGGTCTCAGAGATTCATCTGCCTCTGTTTTCTCTGCCTGTGCCGGGATTCACTATCTTAATGTTTCTGTTTACAGTGATCTGAGATCACTTCCAGCTTTCTCTGTGTTCCATCTACCTTGGTATATTGTGTTTTAATTTCATTTCTCTCTGGTTATTCTCTGAGTTCTCTAATAATCTCTTCTTTGTTGGTTTACTGATGTGCTGTTGATGGACTAGGGATGTCCTTTGGTGATAGATGACTTCCCTAGCATGCGTGAGACCCTGGGTTTGATTCTCTGCATTGCCAAAAAATATATGCTATTTAATTTCAACATGTTTGTGACATTTCCAGTATTTCTTCTTCAGGCTTGCAGCAAGCACCTTTACCTACTGAGCCCTTTCAGGAGAGTACTGACTCTCCAACTATGATATTATTTTCTAGTCTCACTCCACAGATCCAAAACACATGTTGTATGATTCCCACAATTAATATCCATTAAGACTCGCTGTTGTGGCCTAACCCAGTACTAGGAGAATGTTCCCTGTATTTAGCTGTGGAATGTGCTCATTATCCTTTTGTTGAGTGGGCTGTTAGGTTTATCTTGATTCATTCCTTTGGTTTATATTATCGCTCAGATCTTCTGTGTCTTTACTGGAATGGCCCAGTAGGTAAAGACACTTGCTGCAGAGCCAAGCCTGATGATCAGGGTTCAAGTCCCAGAACCCATGAGGTAAAAGGAATTAACTCCCATAAATTGTCCTTTAACCTCCACATGTATGCCATGGTCTGTGGACCCTCCACAGTAAATACATAAAATTTAAAGTCTACTATTGAGTTCTCCAGCTGTTATTTTCATCATTATCCATTCCTCTATTTAAAGCTGTCAATGTTTGCTAGCTTCACTTAGTTTGGATTGCTGATGCTTGATGGATATATATATATATATATATATATATATATATATATATATATATATA